TTCAATAACACTCAATATCTTAAAGTAATTTTTGATACATTTAGCACTCATAATTATAATTTTTAGTAACACCTAGTATTTTCTTGTAATTTTTGGAGTAATTTTATCCACTAAATTGTTTTCTCACAGAGCAATGAACACATTAAACTTTAAGGATGGATTAGCGTTAACATTGAACAAAACTGTGCATATAAAATATATAGGGTAATCGATTTTATGAAATAAAAGCAGTGAGTGAAATTAAAAGGCGCAAGTGGGTGATAGGGACAGTGGTGGCGACCAACTCATAAGAAAATAGGAACACACCAATTTGAAGCTCATCATCATCAAATGCAAAGAGTGGTCCAAGTCATCATCTGAGCTGGAAATTCGAACTTCCAAACGACACATTCCGCCATTTGGGACACACTTCTTCCTATTATTTCTCTATCTTCATACCCACCCACTTTGCCCCTCAAAACTATTGTTACTTACAAATATGTAATCAACAATAGAGATATAGGTTGATTTATAATAAATATGAGTTAATTTTTTTAAATATATTTTTTTAATCATGACTACTTTTGGATGGAAACCTCTTTGATATATATAATCAATAAGAATATTTTAGAGAATGAATTATTAATTTGGCGATCAAAGTAGATTGAGTTCTTATACATGTATATATTTGTGATTACATTCAATCCTCAATTAACTCTTATATTAATCTTCTTTATTATGTTAAATCAAAAGTTCACTTACATTAATTTCACTACCTAATTAATAATAATCTCCCGCTTAAGTGAGAGTCCAACTCTAACCATCCAAACATGCTTTTATATTTCTCCTATATATTCTACAGATGCCAATCTGTCTACAATTCCAATTAGTTGCAAGCTTTTAATATAAGCATTCAACTTGGAATATATGGCTTTCTTTGTTTTTTTTTTTCGCCAGATAGATATGGCTTTTATATCTTAGTTCCATGTAAATGTGTGTCTTATTAGGCCCATTAAGAACTTCATAATGATTTTTTTAAAAAAATTCTAACTCTATAAAAATAACGAGTCTTATTACCACATAAATTTTCTTTTTAATTTTATCACCTATATGTTAATAATATGGCAAATTCTTTTTAATAATATATGTTAATAATATACTCCTCCGGTCCTTAATATAGGACTCAATTGTTGAGTTGGGTTTGGTTCTAAATATAAGACCCATTTCTCATATTTATCAATTTTCTCTAAACCACCCCTATGGATACTCCCTCAACTATAATCAAATAGAAGAGGGAGATGAGGTATTAAGAAAGATGATTATGGTGTTTTAGGAAAAATATGTCACTTTTCTTATAATTAACCAACTTACCTAACTTCCTTAATCTAATCAAATTAGTTAAATGAGTCTTATATTAAGGACCGGAGGAGTATTATCTTGCACGGAAATGGCCTCATGGGTGAACAAATATGGCAAAGGACGCCATTGGATGAGGTTGGGGGTGTCTTTCTTGTCTTTTTGTCTGCCATGCAATGAATTTCTTATTTCTCCCTCTACCCTTTTTGCCATTTTTAATAATGGAAGACAAAGTCTTTTTTCCCTTTAATTTCACTTATTTAGGTGAATACGTGTACTCGTGAAAATCTAATAGATCTCCATCAAGAAACTTATATATTGGGATAAGAGTAGTGATTCTCACCCTTACTTTGTAGTCAAAATTAAACATGTAATTTTCTTAATTAAGCTTAAAGTTAATTATATATGGATTGACTTGCCCCGACGACTTGAGGTAACTATCACCGACTTTGTTAGTTGTGATTTGTGCAATCAATTGCAGTGTAATATTTTTTTTTTGGTTGAAAAAGGCATTATCAAGTTTAAGAATGAAAGTCATATATATGACTTAACATTACATGTGACTAAAGTGATTGAGTAAGGTTGATCACCTGATAACTTGCATCCCAGTACACCTGTACGGCTCCACTCACCCCACCCTTTTCTTTTTTCAACTTTATATTACGCTCATTTTATTTTTAATTAAATATTAACCACGTTTTTTATTGAAAAATTTGACAATTAATTATGCTCTAACCATATAGCTCTATAGTTTCGATAAATTATTAATATTGATATAAAAGTTTCATTTATAGTTTTGATATAGACGTTACCTTTTTTTTTTTTTGGGTTTTCACCAGGGTATCCATCGGAGCGAGTCCAATGACTAATCTCTCGGGTACTATCGGGCCCAAGATGGGGACGATCCTCCCAGACACGCTTGCTCCATTCCCATCTTTCCAGAATCGAACCCCAGAGATGATGGTTAAGGGATACAACTCCCTTACCAGTTGTGCCAGTGCGCGCTGGTGATGTAGACGTTACCTTTGGTAATAAGCCATCATGCATATATAGTTAAAGGAAAATTAAAAGGTTGGGTGATAATTAGATTTTAGGTAAATTATATAATGGAGAAAGTAATAGCTACCTAGCTAGCTAGCAATTAACTCTCAATATTAAGAAACCTCTGCCATAAAATTTTTTAACATTAATTAAATAAAAAGAGATGATGCTTACTTGGCTATATAGAATGGTGCCAAGTTGAAGATAATGAATTATCGTCATATTGAGGCGACAACAGCTGGCAAGAGGGAAACTGGACTTCAATGATGGATCATTAAAAAAAAAACAGTAAATTAGCTATGCAATTCAACAATGAAATTCTCTAGCTAATAAATTAGCGACCAAATTTACAAATTTTCTCATTAATTTATTTTTTTAGTAATTATTATTATGCGAAATAACTAATTATTCTAGTGACTCAAAGCTTCATTCCTGCAAAAATTTTACGAAAAACCTTCGTGATTAGGCACTAACAACCTGATGTTACACGAAAATCGAACTCATGACCTCTACTTAAAAAACAGTTTACATGTTACTAAATTATAAGATTATCAGTAGAACTTTCATGTTTTCAATAGCCAATTATCTTTCAGTCTTGTCTCATTGAAATCGTTTAATATTTTTATCATTTAGTTATATACTTATATAACAATAGCTTGTTGATTAACCATGCTCTAATTTTTGACCAAATTAACCTTTGACATTTTAAAAATGGTTTAAGTTACTTCAACCGAAATAAAATTGGTTTACTTTTATAAGATGAAGATTTATTGATTACCAATGTGGCAATATCTGGTGATCCGAGTGGTAAGGAGCGCAATTATATATATTTTAAAAACAATAAAATTTCAATTAAAAAAATTAAACAATATAGATATTAGAGAGTTTTGACTTTCTAAATTTACCCTCCATTATCAGTCAACTCAACTCAATTTGAATTGAAGGTTCAACATATTTTTCAGAAATCGAAAGATTTAGCTTAAAAAGAAAAAGATTCACTCATTAATTTTAAAACAATTGTGCATCAACTTAAACCATGTGTATTTATTTATTTCCATAAAAAGAAGGACAAAAACATTAATTAAATCAGATGTAGCAATAAAAACTAGAAATGAGCATGTGACAGTGGGGCGCCGCGGCTCCACTTTGAGGTTTGTAGAGAAATAATGTAAAATTTCTGCAATTAGACGTAAAATAAGAGAGAAACAAGAAAGAAGAAGAACAATTAGCAGGGAGTATTAGAATAAAAGAAGCTAATAATATTATTAATATAGGAAATTAGGATTTTAAAATTGAAATTTACAGCAAGAGGGGGTTTAGATAGGAGTGCGTGTGCACGTGCAAACATGTGTTTGAATATGTGGAAGCCCGCACATGAATGTTACCCACACGTGCCCACATGCCTCTGTGAATCTGAAAACCCTCAGTTAGAGTAAAATTCTTGAAAAGCAGAGAACGCCCCCCACCTTTCTCTCTGAATGTGATTGCATGTGGATTCATAAAACCCTAGACATTTGCACTGAGCCCCAAAACTGTTTTTACATTCCCCATTGATCAATGTACTTCTGCTTCTGCCCCTCTGTAAGAATATTTTTGAATTCTACCCTGCACTCCCTTGATGCATTTATGATTTTTATTATCAAGATGCTTTAATTTTCAAAAGAATTGAAATCTCACTCGCACACTCTCTCTCCTGCTCACAGATATGAGAATATCATATAAAACAAATGGATGGTACGTTCAGCTCTGCAATCTGCATTATGTGAGAGGGTACAAATTATAGAAGAAGGGTTTTGTTTTGTTTTGGTTTTTCTTCTTCCAGTCATTGTTTAATCAGCACGCATGATGGGCACGCGAAAGGAAACAGGGTGTACACATAGTGTTTGATGTTATGTCTAATAGAGCATAATGCACTTTCCTCATTTGTACAATGAATCAGATTACATGAACCGAGCAAAACCCACTTTGCAGGACCACTTTTGCTCCAATAATCTCATCTACACTGACCCTCTCTACTACTCAGATCTTACTAGTCTTCCCCAAAAATGGGACAATTGTGGGTGTGGAGAGATAAAGTGAGGGAGAGACAGAGAGGCATTACTGCTAAGGTATACGTGTCCATACAGTGTGGAAGGCGAAGTGGACGTGTACCCAGTTTTGTTAAGATGGCACGAAGAGCCTCGCTGTCTAGCATGTGAATGAGTCGTGGCTTTCCCTCTTCTCTCTCTCTCTCTCTCTCTTGCATGCACACACTATAGCCTACCCAACTGACAGTTTTGATTCATTAACTTGTGAAAGTGTTCAGTAATTCCCGTCTTTACGTCCTCCCTTCCCTAAACGTGTTTGACAAAAGTGACTAGGTTTGACAGATGGAGTGTGAGGCAGTAAAAAAAAAAATATACGTCACTTACGCCTTACTCAGTAGTGTTAGAGTAACTTATTGTCATTATTTGAAAGTTAACAAAAGCCTAACAGAGATGAGAGTCAGGACAAAACTAGTCTAGGATTTGAGTCTATTTCTCTCTTTGTTTTCTCCCCCACCTATCCACTCTTTGCAATTTCTATCCAACTTGTTCGACTCCAAAACTAGCTACCAGCTAGAGAAACCTTCACACAGCCAATGGGGTGTTGAGAGAGTTTGATAAAGATTTTTATTCTTTTCATTTTTTCAACCACTCTTCCTGCATAAAGGAGGCTCTTCTGTGAGAAATCCAATTCAGTTCTTCTCCTAGGAATCAAAGATGAATGCAATCGCTTCAGAATGCAGTAGTGGTTGTGAGTCTGGCTGGACTCTATACCTTGAACATTCTCTCCTCAGGCAAAATATTTCACATAAGGATACTCCATTTATTGGCGGAAATGATGGATTTTATGAAGACAAGGACAAAAGAGCCAGGGAAGAGGATACTGCAGAAGAGGAGGACTTGTCTATGGTTTCTGATGCTTCTTCCGGTCCTCCACATTTCCTAGATGACGAGGCTTTCTTCAACGAAGACAATGGGTGCTTCCATTCTGAATCTGAGGCAGAAAAAATGGTTAAGTCTGCTAAAAAGAAGCAGAGAGTTAAAGAAAATGAACCCTGCGGAGATCAACACCTTCCATCTTTCCTTGATGATACTGCTAGCTCTCCTGTCTTTGACTTTGCCATGGTATGTTAGAGCTAGCATTAAACTATTTGAATCTCGTATTACTATAAAGAAAAAAATATAGACTGCAGGATATTTTTTCCTCATACAATTATTGACGATTTTTTCAGAACAATGGAACTCAAGCTTCAACAGAGGGCGCGCTAGATTATTCACAGGGTTTCTCTGCAACTTATTTTGAGGTACTTGTACCTTCTTTAATTATTCTTTCCATTTTATTCGAGGGTTTAAAATTTGTTTGAAGACTATCTTGACTCCTTTGTGTTCTTGCAGGAGAGATCCTCAATCCAAGATCACTGTGCTTCTTACAACCATCTCTATCATTAAATGAACTTCAGAACAGCCAAGTAAATACCCGTTTCTTACTTGGTTCTGCCTCTGCAATGCCTGATTTTCTCTGTCGTCGGTCAGTTACATTATCCGCTTAGTTGTTGCTTTTGAGGAAGATGGAGGGGCAAGAGATAAACATCAGAATTCAAATCAGTTCTTTACCTTCAGTTATTGAAGTTGATGCAGTGGAGGACGTTAATGAAGATCTATGAAGAGAAATGATCAGAGTGTTAAGCGTGGAAGGAATTTGATCTCAAAATGTGTTCTGTTCATTCCTTTCCTTTTCTCTTTTAGCTGTCAATACAGACTGAAGGGGGAACATGAAGAAATAGTTTTTTTTTCCCTTGCAAAATTTAATTCTCTTTGTGGATGAACAGTGGATACATACATGTGAACTGAGTTAGGCAGATTCTGTATGAGCATGATCGATTCGTGTCAGCATTTCACCACTTGCGATTCTTGCTAAGGCATTATAAAAAATTCAATCTTGCGATTGAAAAATCGACACTGTTTTAATGTCGTAGAGATCTGTTCATAGAAAATTTGTTAGTCTTATTGAACCGAAGGGGATAAAAGAAATATCATACAATTTTCTTCTGGGGTAAGGTATGGAAAACTATGATCCTCCTTAGGTAGATAATTCAGAAAAAGGCTACAGTTTTCGACTTCATTAGGTGAGACTCCCTACATCTGCATTTGGATTTTAATTTTCGTATCATTCGGATGAATCTTGAAAAAGACTTAATCATTAATGAGGACAAGACCTTCATGAATGTTTGGAAGAGTCCAGAAAAGGTTTAGGTTGTTCGGAAAGCTCTAGTCTTTCTTCTAATTAAGATTAATGCGTAACATGCTCTCAGAAATGGACAAGATATGGCAAATGAAGCAGTCATGGCAGGGTGATGGTCAAACTCTGGATATTCACAAAGATGAGGATGGAAATGCCAATCTTCATGTCAGAGTAATCTATACACTAGAGAATTTTATTCTCTTGGTTAATATGATAAAGAAAGGATCTCATTAAAAAAGAGTTTTCATCAGAATCTTGAGATAATTAATTGATACTAGTTTATTTCTTAAAAACAGAGGTTTTATTCATTTTTAAATACTTCTGTTCAGTTCTTTTTTAAAAATTCAGGAGATACTTCCAGAGATCTCCTTAGCCACAAGAACACGCCTCATTTTTGCTTAGGATGTTCACTTTATCTTTGCCTTGATCCTTATTATAAAATTATTATATTAGATTACTTTTATTTCAAAAAATCACTACTATAAATCTCAACAATTAAAAAAAAAAAATAGTCCTAATAACAAGTCATCACATGATGTATGAAAGCTTTTCTCACAATTCTATAAATATCACGAAATTAAATCTATAAATAAGGGTTTTAAGATTGGCCACTTGGGGAAACATTTCTAATCCACTTGATAATTTTTGCCATAATAAATTAAAAGAGCACAACTATTCATTAATTCAACGATTCCCAAGTATAAGGGATTCAAATACGCTGATTTTTTTTTAATTTCTTATTCTTAAGAATTGATATAGGATTCTATAAGGAATATTATGGCTTGAGGATTAATTAATCTTGTTTGTAACTTTGAATAATTAATTTCATCACTTCTTAATGTAATAACATGTGATTTGATAAATTCCCACAAAAAGTCTAGAAAACATAATCGTTCCATGTAAAATTTAAGAAACTCATCATTAAATTAAAAATCCGATTATTTAAGTTTTCAATATATACTGATGATGAGCTAAGTGCATTACAATACTTTCTTATGATTTATGAATAGTATGTGGTACTATTTTAATATTTCAATATTATGTATAGATTATTTAAAATATAAATATTTAAATAAATGTTTATGTGTACGTCTTGTTATCTCCAAGTTTGTCTGCTGGGATGCTGTCACAAGACTTGATGTCATTAAGAAATAAACCAAGAGTCTTAGCTTCTTTTAATTATTTATTCCTTTACTTATAAATTATTCCCATTTATTTATTTTTTTGGACCCCTTTCAGTTTATATTGAGATTTAAAAAATAGGGCATGTGATGTCACAAAGTTTGAGAAAGGCACAGCAAAATATGGGCCATTTAGAATTAATTTAGGATGTCAAATTCCAAATTTCTCCCTTCCCTTACCCATGTTGTTTTGTTCCTCATCTATAACTTTATCAGATTCGAATTGATTTTGTTTATTGAAAATCCGAATTGTTTAATTATCCTGAAAATGACATCTTAGAAGTCTGTCTGGAAAAAGTGCGACTGTCATGTGTTCGTTAATATACTAATCAACTCTAATGATCTTTTTATTTCTAATACGCCTTTTATTAATTAATACACTAACTAATAATTTTCGTTTAATAGATTTTTATAAAGGTAAAACGAGGGTAAGTAAAGACAAAAGAAACGCACAAATTGTATTATTTTTTGGAAAAATGGTGAGGGATAGTCAATGTATAGCTGCATTCCATCCATGAACTTGGAAATGAAACACACACACACACGTAAATATATATACGTGTGTGTGTAACGAGGTAACATCATTTTGATTCCATGCCCTTTCCAACCACCCCCTCCCAACTCAAAATTCTCCTACTCTCTTTTATTTATTTTTAATTTGAAATTGAAATTTATAAAAAAAATGTAATTAATAAAACATAATTAAAAGTGCATTTCTCAAAACAGCAACTAGCACCCTAAAAAATTGTGAAATCATATGAAGTACTACATGATCTTTCAACACAGGTGTAAGATGGCCTGAATTTGATAGATCATTAATGTTAGACTATTAATACAGGTTGAGACATGCACTTTTTTTAACCAATAAGTAGTTAATTAGCAATTACTGCTTCTGGCGATTAATATAATAGCTAGATAACTAATATGTTGATATTAAAGAAATTAGTTATTTATAATAGATGTGTCTAAATTTTCCTAAATTATCCTATTTAATTATGTGAAGAGCCCCTTAACATTGCAATAAATAAGAATACTTTGAACCAAAAATTATAAACTTGGGAGGTTTTAAGAGTACATTAATAAATATAACAGCGATTTGGGTGACAGATGTAGATACTCAGGATAATGAGGAATAAGGAATAGGTTTTTCTAAGAGGAAGATGGACATAGCATCCTTCACACAATATGTAACAACTATGGGCAAACATAATTGAAATTAGCAGAATCAAATCAACATGTAGTATTATCTTTGGTTGTTATATAAAGATCTGATTTATGGTTTAAATTAAGGACTCAAAGTAGTAACTAGTCAAATTCAAACAACTCTACCTAGTAGAAGTCAAAATCAATCAACACCCATTTTGGGTCCCTTTAACTAGCTAAGATGTGGCCCTTTCGTGTTGCATACAATTATACTCTCCCGGTCCCTAATATAAGACTCATTTAACTAATTTGATTAGATTAAGGAAGTTAGGTAAGTTAGTTAATTATAAGAAATGTGACACGTTTTTCTTAAAATACCATAATCATCTTTCTTAGTACCCCATCTTCTTCTTTTATTTGATTATGGTTGAGGGAATGGATAATTTAGAGAAAATTGATAAATATGATAAATGGGTCTTATATTTAGGATCAAAACCAACTCAACAATTAGATCCTATATTAAAGACCGGAAGAGTATATCATTATGTGCCTAGTCAGTGGTTGGCTTCTTCTACTCGCAAACTTCCCATACCAACATACATATCAAACAGTGTTTCAACTCTCACCCTGCGACTTTACGTATGAAAAGAATCAAACTTCTTCTATATATGTAACCTTTTATTCCACAACGCGTTGCATGAATCTGTATCTTCCAAAGTTCCAACAACTTTGTTTCCATTGGAGATTCAATACAAATATATATATATGCATATATAATAATATATGAGGGTTAGTCGGCAGGTTTGATGAAAACTAGGGCTTGGGATTGACCTGGAATAGTAGATATATCTATCTTTCTGTCTGGAACTCTTTAAAGTTGAAACAGTAAATCCTCAAGTTACGCTAACTTAAGGAAGGGGTCACATAATGGGAAGATTTGGTCACGGATAATGTTGCCTGTTAAAGTGTTGAGACTTCTGTATATATATGTCATGTGACCCAGAAAATTATACCCCGAACATCATGGGATTTGACTTTCAATCCTCAGTTTTTGAGCTTATTACGCGTTGAAGCTGAAGCTACAATAACTCATGTTGGGTCCACCCACCAGCGGAAAAATAAAAAAAGGTAGTGTTTGGATACACCATACTGGTCACAGTGGGATCACAGAAGTAAGCAATTAGTCATATATCAATTAGGACTAACAATTTAATTTGGAATAACATTCAAAAGATGTACCTCAAAGGCATGTTGGTTCAAAAGCTATATTGAAGTAGCTTTCACGTTAGTGTTGGAGAAAGCCGAAAAACAAAATACACGCTAAGGACTCGTTTGCATGTATTTACCTGGTGTATTTATAAACATGTTCACATAATAAATCAAGATAAAATTCTCCTCGCATATTTAGTATTTTGTAAATCATGATTTTGCTTATAAGTCATTTCAAATAAGTCGTAAGTTTAGAATAGACTGGATTACTAGTTGGTTAATAAGCTTTTCCTTCAAGGCCTTGATTTCTATTCCTCCATTGATTTCTTGTCTCAAAACTCACTACTACAAAAAATACATTTAACGGCGGTTAGAATAAGCTTTTTACGATGGTTTTGAGACCGACGTCTATGCCATCGACATAAAATGTAGAGGATTTCATGACGGTTTAAGAACTGTCGTGGTATGTGACTTTTCACGGCGGTTATATAAATAACCGCCGTGAAATTTTTTTGTTTTTTTAAGCTACGTTTCATCCTACTGATCAGGATGGAACGGGAGAACAAAGCCTCAAAGGAAGTCTCTCACTAGTTAAAAGCATTCTGATGGAGTAAATATAGATTCTTTCCCGCTGTAATAGTGTCACTTAACTTCACCTTCAGCCACCAAATCGAAGCAACTAGCATTTAATAAAGATAAAATCAAAGACTTAGATCTGCTAAAAATCAGATCTCTTTAAACTCAGATTAAACATCATATTTTTAACCAAAGAAAATAATCATATCAAATCACAAAAAGTATGAAATCCACAGAAAGAATGGAGGTGAAAAACTCACAAATAAGAATGAAGAGGATGCGGCGATGGCGACGACAACAACAACAGCGACGGTGATGGAAGAACATGGTGAAAATGATAGAAGCAATGAATAAACGCCAACAAATGTAAGAGGAGGGAGAAAATCGAGTGAGGATGATATCAGGACTATGAGTTCTGACTCTGAAAAGTGAAAACTATCACGCAATGATTTTAAACTTCTGAAAGACTTTTTACGGCAGTTATTTAAAAAACCGCCTTTAAAAGTTCGCCTATAATTACAGAAATGCCACCGTTTTTACAATGTTTTTTCTAATAACCACCGTAAATTAGCGTCATAAAACTCTTTTTTGTAGTAGTGACTGACTATTAGGGTGATGAAAATTTTGTAATTTTAAACAATTTATTATTTATTATGTAATTTTACGGGGAATTATTTTTGGACACACAATAACATTTTCTTCTGGATTCATTGTTACTGGTAACCCCCCACTCGCTATTATTTTCATTCTTTGCCACTGTGTTTATGTTTCTGCCTTCGTGATGATCTCACATATGCATTTTGGCTATTTTGAAATCATCTGAAAGGTATGTGCAATTGCTCATTTGATTCTAATTTCAAATTTCATAATCTCCCGTTCTCATGATACTGTTAGCAAATTTTGCAGCAAACCATCACTCTTTTTAATTATATATGCATGTTAGCGGAAATGCGACCTACAAATGGGGAAAACATGAAAACAAAATGATTTTTAAAATGAAATCAAGTGTTTAAATAAGTACTTAGATATTTATTTTTCAACAAATTATTACAGTATATGGTATTTAATTTGTTGATCTCAAAGAATTACATACGTGTTTAAATAACTCAAGTGTCAATGATTCCCTTATAAGAGACCCAAATGTCATTTTCCCATTGGAAACCTCTTCTCGGTCTTGACTTAGTCATTGGTTTGATTTACTTAGCGAAAAGTCTATAAAATATATCAGATTAATCTTTATAATTCTTCATTTTTTGGTTAATTTTGTCCAATTTAATTCTGCTAAGCATCAGATCAGGCCTGTTATCAACCTTATGTCTGAAGATAAAGTAAAACAGGAAAAAAAAAAAAAAAAAGGCAGGATTGAAGCGACCAAAAATTTTATGGGGTTTCAGGATCGAAAGAAACAGGAAATCACAATCTACCGACCATTATAATATCTACATTACTAGATGAGTGGAATAATAATAATGTACAATTTCCAAAGTAATGGAGAAGGGGCAGAATGTAAAAGGGAGTTTTTTCATTTGTTAGATTTAAGCCAATCAAGGATACCTTTTTCTGTATCAGAAAGCTGATCTTGCTGCTTTGCCTTCAATGTTCCCTCCACAAGTTCAAAATAATCCTTGTAGTTACGCTTGTAATAACTCTCCAGCCTCTGCAATATCACACACAATTTGATCAATTCACACCACAGAAATAGCATCTCAACTATACTATTCAACAGCCAGTAAAAGAGTATACCTCTTTGTCATTTTTATCTCTGTTTTCCTCTGATTTCTTGAGGTATTCTGGAAAAAGAATTCAACAGTGAGAAAGAAAGCGGAAGAGAAAACAATAGAGGGGGAGAGAGCGAGGGAGGTGTACTCTTGAGAAGGAGAGTTCTGGAGTCAGGGACTTGATCAGTGAGGGAGGCGGCCGCGAGGGAGGATAAGAGGAGGCCTCTTCTACTGGTGGTGACGGCGGAATTGGGCGGCGATTTAGGATGCTTTCTGTGAGAAACGGCCTGCAAGTTGGAAGAAGCATACTTGTTCACTGTTACTGTGAGTGCCATCAGTATGCTTTGGCCTATCGAACTCATCTCACCGCTTTGCTGCAGCCACCAGTTTTCGCTAATGGATAATGAGGATGCGGTTGCTACTGCTAAAGTGCCCACCACGCATATCCCAATGCTTTTACGTTACGTACTTCGGTCGTTCAATTCACATTCTCTTGCTTCATTTTTGGAGTTTTCACCGTAATATCCCATCGAACCTTGAAGATTTTGTTTTTTATCACATGTTGTTCAGTCATTCGATGCCATTTTATCATTAAAAATGCTTGACACATAAAACTGAAACTTCAAACCTGGCATAACATAAATTCAAGGTTTCAGTCATTCTAGGCGAACACTTCTTTTAATTGAAAAGAAATCACATTATTGGTCACTTCAAAAAGCACCCACGAATATCATACTTTGTTCGGCGGAATCAAGTCACAAACACTTTATGCTGGTTTGCTTTTCGATTGAAAAAAGTGATATTACAATTTTTTTTCTTTTGAATCAAAGTCACCCTCATATCGCTTTAATCTTGTTCCGTAGAAGTAAACCTCCTAGACATTATTGATGAATCATCGTGTTGATGGCTCACTTGATATATTTTTACAAAGTATGAACATGGTATCTGAACATTGTGGCGGCCAGTGAATCTCACTCCAGAAGACGCTTGTGTCTACACCAGACAATGGCAATCACGTACAGGAATATGGTGCCCGCGGTGCTGCCACCAACGGTCCAGAGGAATTCCCGCATCCCAGCATCAAAAAGCTCAATATGAATGTTCATCCCAAAAATGCCAGCCACCACCACTGAAGCACTCACGACTAGGGTTGCCGTTGTCAGCATCACTCCCATTTGCAACAGATGGTTCTGCTTGTCATCCAGCATAATGTTGATGTAGTCCTCTGTGTCATCCACGTACTCCCTCAGCTTCAAAACAGGGGGGGGGGGGAGGTTATTCCAAGTAATCCAAGCAAATATCCAAGCATTGATGGAGTACTTTAGCACCCCCAACGTGATATGAGTAAATCTAGACAAAAATAAAGTATCTAAGCGTTGGCATGGGGTCTAAAAGATGCCGTGCATGTTTTAAGTGTTTAGAAGGTATCTAATCTAACGAGTGATAAATTGTTGAAAATCTTTTTTGCTCCTCAATGAACTGCAGGTATATAACAAGTGATACGAGCATCAATTCTGTGAATCCTTTTATTCAACAATATACTGTGAAGTCTTCAACTCCTTCTGCTTGGTTCCTTAGGAAGAAACCTATTAAGCTCTAGAAATTCAACTAGTTCAAGCCCAGTAGTTATCACTGGCAAAGCAGCAAGTCCTCCCAATAACTTTTGACAGGAAACATTGATTATTTGTTTAAATCTCCTACATATAAATTGGCACATTCACAGGTCGTCCAAGCATCCTTCAAACATGTCATCGCCTAATCAATCGGAAAAATTAAATGTTTCAACTTGTTTTTGCAGCAAAACTTCTTATAACCTTCAAGTGAGGCAAAAAAATAGCCACATGAGGCTACAAAAAAACGAGTCTATCTACAAAAATTCAATAAATTTGCAACCGTGGATAGTTTGTTCAGTGTGCCATCAATTTGCACGAAGTATGCTTCCAAGAGCATTCAAGCTCTTCTACATCAAGTTGCTTGGTAATAGTACTGTAGGTAGCGCTAGTACGAGTTCCATGGCTGTCCCTGCCAAGTGCATTTTGATGATCTTCATAGCGAGCAAAACCACCCCCAGTTTCCAATGATATTTCCGCAGGTATCCTAGTACCAGACAATTAAATGATTATAGATAAGACATTCAACACAGTAAGTATTCAATGTGATCAAAATGACGGTAAAATTACATGCCTGCCATCCATATCAGTTTGAAGTTCTTGATCTTCCGTGTCATCTTTATCATTCATGGATGAGGCTGAAGAATCCTCAAGCTGCTGAACTAACTTGTCTGTCAGATACATCTCAGCCATATCTTCATCATCATCTAGCAGGTGTTCTAACTCATCCCGTACCTGGAGATGAGTAGTATGCAATAACAATCAAAAGTGTGCCACACGAAAGAAAATATTCAAATCACAGATGAAGGAACGTTTGTTTAATGGGTAACATCATCAAAGATTAATTTGCAAGGAGGTAGTCAAGGTTTGAAAAATACCCACCTTTTGAACTCGACCAGTAATTGCAACCAAGCGGCTTTTAATTTGACGAACACGTTCCAAGTTGAGAGTACTAATCTTTGAAGTCAGCTTATCTAAGGCAGGATGAGCCTCTTGCTCCAATGTCTTTGCCTGCTCAAAGAGATGACAGAAAAATAAATATGTAGGAAGTGAGAAGATAAGGGAAGAAAAATAGCAAATGAGCAAAATATATGTACTTCATTTTCTAACACTCCACAAGCAGCCTCAAGGCATGCCTCCAGTGCTACAAACTCGAAGGGGAGAATCTTCATCCCATCTCTATTTTGGAATTGTTTCTCTTCTCCTTTACTTTCCCCATCCTGAATTCGAGGACTAACAGTTCTAGATTGTGGCTCTTCCAAATCATACAATTTTGTCCAGGTTGAATCATCGCCATTTCCCTCCTGTACTATTGAGAATAATGATGACAATGATAACACACAATTACCAGACAAAATAAAACAAATTGTATTAGGTAAATAAACAAGAAATAAAGCACACACAAGTCTATAGCAGACTCATCTTAACAGTGTTGGATAAAACTTGCAATGATCAAAATGGCTTTTTTTTTTTGGGGGGGGGGGGGTCTTAGGAGTCACTCTATAAAGAACTTAAGAGGTGATTTTCATATCTAATCTGATCCCTATTATATTGAACAAACCATCCCAAACTACTTGTATCAAGATATGCTAACTGATAGAGCCCTCAACTCTAATAATCTTGATATCGAACAAAAACCAGAAATAGACAACAACACGGGACTGATAATACTGTTATTGAATAATAAAGTCAGATTACAAGGGAAATAATGACTCAATCCAATCCCATCTCCCTCGTACACTCAAACTAACAAGAAACAACACAGCAAACACACAGCATGAGCCACTGGACATTCGAGACAAAACTACTCTACAGAGACACTTCACTAACCAAAAGACTGAACTCCCCCTCCCCTTGGCTGGAAAGGCTTTCAAAACCCACAAAAGATGACTCTAACTTAGCTCATACCCCTAGACAGACCCTAACAGCTAACACATCACTAGGCTATCAATTGCTTTTCCTTAAAACCAGGACCCATAGGATAATCCTTTGAACTAGCAGTATCGCAACCTTTATCCCCTTTTTATTCCATGATTTCTACTATAGGTTTAATAAAAAAATTCAGCAACTCTATCACTGACATTGCACATGTTGATATAATCGACTCCTTGCTGCTAACGTCCATCTAGTAATGACTGCCATAATTTGTGCACTTTCATAAAGACAGAAGACAATTGGATAAACTATGAAAACGGGGGCTACATTAGATGAAATCAAGAGATCTTAGAAAATTTCACGGCAAACAGCGATTTGAGAAACATAAAATATAAAATGCAACAATCATAAGAAATTTACAATAACAAAATGAAGAAGGGTGCAAAACCTGAGCCTTAGTGGCTTGATGATGATGCAGAATTCTTCTCTGAAACTCCTCAACAAAGGGGGTGACGGATGGGTCCCTCGAATTCAACAACAAAACTTCATGAGCAGTGATTATCGCTTTTATGTGCTCCAAATTTATGACGATCGCTCTCTCACGCCCCAGAATCGTGGAAGGATAGGACAGAAGTGGATCCAATATCCGAAGGTCTCGGGCAGGCAGGCCAGTTCGGCGCATGACGGCGTGCTTGCCGGCCTCCACCACTTGCGTCTGGCCAGTGGCGTCAATTAGAAGCCACGCTCTGACGCCGGTGCCTTTCTTCCGATGAATGACTCCAACGGAGATTCCGGCGGCGGTAGCTGAGGGTCGGGTTACATCTGGGTCCCCTTCGTTAGCAGATTTTAAAGGGTCGCGAGTATTTGCCCTCATTTGTCAGTAGCTTGTGCAGTAAACACAGGTTAGGTTTACTCAATCAGAGGGTTTTTAGAAGAGATCCCAAGAAACCTATATTGCGATTGATGTCCCCAGAGCAAGCAAAGTAACTGGCGAACCCATCCCACCCTCTCCCGCCGAAGAGTCGTCGATCTGGGCAGCCCGAGCTTGCTTCCCGAGAATCTGTTTCGTTCCTTGTGAGTATCTTTATTGATTTATTCTTTATCGTAGATTTTTTTTTAAACTGTGAACGGATAATAAACAAGTACTACCCCCGTTCTTATATAGACCCCGTTTGACTTTTTATTTGGTCCTATTATAAGACCCCAATCTATTTTTTCTCTCATATTTATATATTTTTCCAAGATAGTCCTTCTAATAATGATAGTTTTCTAGCCAATAACACTTAATTAGTAAGGATATTTTAGGAATGACATACTTATTTATTACAAATAACCTAACTTAACTTACTTCCTTAATCTCCTCCAAATAAGTCAACTGGTTTTATAATTAGAACCGGAGGGAGTATTAAATAATAAATAATAAACCATTTATTGATAATAAAACAAAAATATGTTAATGATTTAACTATATTTACAAAATAT